TCCTAATTTTTTATATTTTATAAATCATTGAACTACAAACGAAAATTCTTTTACTACAATCACCTACACACGAAATACTACCAGTTTCCGTAAAAAAATTAAATTTTGAAAAGTCGGGTGCCAGGTTCACATAGCCCTATATTCCGCGTATATCCCATGCACATACGAGAAATAACGTACTACTAAAGATATTATACGAATGTTCTCAGTTTATCCTATATTATCACAGAACATTCAGTATGAGTACAGAATATTCGAATGATATCATGTGTTGTGTGGGAAGCTGTAAAAATAAGTTCGTTGAGTTTAAAAATGATTTTATATGTATATGCCTGCTTGAGTTTTTGTAATTTCTAATAGAATTCTTGAGTTATTTTGCTTACATTAAACTATTGTCAGATACATATGTATACATACCTACGTACATACACATATATTTTCACATTCTAGGGATGTACGAAATATCATGTGCTGTTAGAAATTAGGGTTGTAACTAATATTATGAAGTATTTACTACAAAATTTATGATATCACCTTAAAAAATAACCCTTTTTAAAAAAGGTAAAAAAATATGCCAAGTATGAGCACCATCCAATCAAGCATTATATAATTTAATTATTTGGATATTATATTTTATTAGAAAGAAAACATTTTTATCTTCTCTATAAAAGTATCTTCTCTATAAAAGTATCTTCTCTATAAAAGTATCTTCTCTATAAAAGTAATGATATTTATCATCAAATGGCGCCAACTAAAATGAATATTAATACAAACTTTATTATTTTTAATATTAAAATGTTATATTCAAGCTATCGAACATAAAATTTTATCGTAAGAAATAAAGAAAATAATAATATAACGAGACAAATTTTTAATACTTATTTAATAAAAATATAATGCAAACAAATTTATACAAATAAATATTTTATTAAAAGATGACCTTTTCTAATTTAATTGTTGGATACATATCGGTCTTGATTCACGACATTATTGTTTATTAAAAAAACTTGGCGCTGCTAAACCGCTGAAATATACAATATAAACTTACAATTAATTCTAATCCTTATTTCATAAGCCACATGCGCGTGCGCACACACACACGCATGCATAAAAGAGAGAGTTTAATACTTGTAAGGAAGGAGGAAAATCGCAGTTAACATTTGGTTTAACAGGGCCCAGTTTTTTTACTAAACTATAATGTGAAGACCAATATGTTTAAAAAAAAGAGTTTAACACTTGTAAGAAGGGAGGAAGAGCGCAATTAACATTTGGTTTAGCAGCGCCAAGTTTTTTTAATAAACAATAATGTCGTGAATCAAGACCAATATGTATCCAACAATTAAATTAGAAAAGGCCATCTTTTAATAAAATATTTATTTGTATTGTAATAAATTTGTTTGCATTATATTTTTATTAAATTAAATAATAATTAATTAAATAAGTATTAAAAATTTGTCTCATTATATTATTATTTCCTTTATTTCTTACGATAAAATTTTATGTTCGATTGTTTGGATATAACATTTTAATATCAAAAATAATAAAGTTTCTATCACGGTGTATAATGACAGAGATAAGAGATTATGTCGCCAGTAAATATTATATCTAATCAGTTAACGTTATCTAATCAGTTAAAAATATCAGTTAACATTATATCTAAAGTATTTTTTTGTCGACCCAACTGGCAGGAAACTTTATTCGTGAATCTTACATCCACGAAGTTTTGACCATCCGGATTGTGGTCCTTATCAAGTGATTGGTAATAGTTAAAATTCTTATTGCGAAAAATATTACCCCAGCCAGGATTCGAACCTGGGACCTCCCTCAATCCGTAGCCCTGGTGATCGAGCTGGCTAAGACGTCCGCACGGATTGAGGGAGGTCCCAGGTTCGAATCCTGGCTGAGATAACATTTTTCGCAATAAAAATTTTAACTATTACCAATCACTTGATAAGGATCACAATCCGGATGGTCAAAACTTCGTGGATGTAAGATTCACGAATAAAGTTTCCTGCCAGTTGGGTCGACAAAAAAAAACACTTTAGATAATAAAGTTTCTAGTTTGTATAAATATTCGTTTTAGTGGGCGCCATTTGATGATATCATTACTTTCGTAAAGAAGATACTTTTGTAGAGAATATACAAATTTTTTTTATCTAATACAATATAATATCCAAATAATTAAATTATATAATGCTTGATTGGATGGCGCTTATACTTGGCGTCTTTTTTTATTGGTGTTAACTGGGGCGTTCGTTCTTCGAGTGAGAACTCTTTTAAACGTGTTTCGTGCACGAGTATCGATTCTTATCAGCATCGAGTGCGTAATTGATAATGCACGTTCGGCAAACGCGCTATATCCATTTCGCAATCAGTATACAGCGAGATTCGAGAATCACGCTAATAGAGACTAGCTTCAAATGCCAGGCAGTCTCTCTTTAATTGGTCGGTCTCGGTTTTGTCGTTATTTTAATTATACGTATAATTCCGCTAATTATGTCGTGACGTCTCGAGGTACATAAATGTCTCTCCCCGGGGATTTATTTTAAGATTCTAGGGCTCCAATAGCTTTGATCCGTGATAATTCCATTTCCGCCACTTACATCCTCCTGCTGTTGAGCTTTCAATCAATAACTAGAGACGGAAAATGTGTTCTTGCGTTTCTACCTATAAATAAGAGTATCCTATCGTATCGCACAAGGAATAATTTCGTCGACTTCTTGCGGAAGAGACGCGTGATCTCCACGAGGCTTGTTTGACTGTCATTTAAATGGAGTTCACTGCACTTCTTCGTGCTTGGAGATGATCACGTCCTTGTGTATGCAACGAATGAATTTTATACAACTCATTTAAAAGATTGAAGAAGCAGTAGATCTGTACGATATACACCACCAAGTAGGTCAGATTCCAACGTTAATTTGCACTTCCTGCGGCCGGCAGCGCAAGAAGCAACAAGCTTCCCGTGTGCTTATCGCCGAAGAAACGCATGAACGGCGTTAATGTTGCGCATGATTTCTTTCAGCCCGTTGTTCCCGAGATCATTTTGCACGGCGTGCAAACCGCGATACCACGCGATCAATCCTTCCATAGAGCGGAGGAAGAGCTTAGTTCGCGATTTAATTAATTACCATGAATTATGTAGCGAAAAATTAAAATCGCAGAATTACGAAGAATTACAGATTTTAATTTACACGGAAAATCCATTTCAATCTAGAATTAATAAATTTCTGCATGAAGGTGAGAGAAAAGCAGAGCTTTTTCGTGGCCTTCGCCAGCACGCAATCATCAATCGACAAATTATTTATAATGAAAAGTAACTTGATACGTTACAAATATACATGTGCAATATGAAAAATTATCGTGTGATTTAACATAAAAAAATTGACAAGATTAACAATGAGAGACAGTTCATTTTCGCACTACCCGTGCAATATGCAACGTTATCGCGTAACTTGACGTAAAGAATTGACGAGATATTTAAAGCTAGACAAATCATTTTATAAATAAAACTTTCGAATCCAACTTCGGTGTAATAAAAATCAATGAAAATTCAGGGATGTATGGCGAAGTTAGATAACGAATATGTTTTCCTTGAAAATACGTGACTCACAATCTCTGATAAGATATAACGACGGATGCGGAACCGTGCTGGCATTAGATCCGTTAGAAGAAAGAAAAAGATCGCGTCAAACGACATCCATTATAACGGATTAATTAACCCGGGCTATCCAGGGCTCGGTCAGCCGAAACTATTGAATAAAACATCGACAAATGATATTCGATATCACAATAAAAACGGAATCTGATACCGATAACTCTGCTTATCTCTCCGCATATCTGCTTATCATCGTTTCGGGAGTAACGTGGCAAACAATAAATAATCTGCGATTTTACAATTAAATATAATAGAAACGATGACAGCTTTGGTCGGATTGGATTGCGGTCACCTGATAATATATTTGTGTGAATTTTGTACACTTTTTCCAACCTTATCAATAATAATCGGTCTAACGTTTGACAATAATAATCCTTTTAAATCAGTGTAAATAATCTATTATTATACATGCACGAAGGGAATGACGTTATCAGAAGGTCGAAGGTGTATTTGATTGTGTCTTCGAATATCTTTGAACAGTGAGACAAATTGTCCGATTATTATCCTATCAACAGCTACTGCTCGTGCAAAATGGGAATAAAAGGATTGGAATTTGAAAAAGTTAACATTAAAATAATACGAGAGTCCAAATTTAAAAAATTGAAGAAACTTGATGAAACTTTTAAGTGGAGTCTCTAATATTGAGAATCAGCAAATGAGTTTGAAAATGTGAAGCTTTTTCTATACGTCTCAAATATATTATTCATTACGTTTAATTATACTTTTATTTTACCATGAAAAACACAATCAAGATTATTTGTTTCGTATTTAACATGTATACTTTGTTATATATTTTATTCAATAATAGTGAACCGTAATAAATTACAATTGGATCTCGAAATTAGAACATAAAAAGAATATGGAAATTTTTTAGCTACTCGAAGAAAGTTCGAATAGAAAATAAACGTTTAAAACTGAAATTTTTCACTCTATGAAATTTAATTCTCAATACATAAAACTACGGGAGGAAAGTCTACCGATTAAAGTCCTTCATACTGACCTCACAATAAAAAATTAACGATACTATTTATTTCGTTTCTGATATATTTCATTATATTCTAATCTATGATCGTAAAACGAGATGAAACTCGAAGATTAGACTAGCACAAGCGGTTGGATAAGACCGATTAAAATCTACAAACTTACCTTCCCGCAAAGCGCAATTGATTTTGATAAAAAAAACAATTTGCAAAACGCAGATATATTTATCACAGGCGTAATATTTCTTTCGTTATTATTATATCTTAGCAACAGCAATCGCGATTATACACACATCGTCGAAGGCTATCGCGTCACTCCGCCTCGTGCTCGAGACGCTCTCGGCGTGTCGACGCGGCGTGTTGCGCAAGTCGTCGTCGTCGTCGTCGCAACGCTCACGAGGTCTCCGTGAGGAGACGTCCGACGTGGTGAAAAGCCCTCCATACAGAGACACCACCGTGTCCAGCCGCGACGCGGTCCCAGCAACAAGTGCTTATGCACGAGCGATTGCAATCAATCTATTGAAACGGGACAGATAGGTATCTCGCGAAACGGCGAAGCTGATAATTTTGCGAGCGATCTCGCCATCCCTACCTATATTTGCGAGCCCGCAATATGTCCGGCACAAGCGGCCACCGCGATGCACCGCTGATTGCTGCATCCGCTGCTCCGCCGCGACGCTGGCTACCGGCCGTCCGGACGACTATCTCGCGGCGGACCGCCGGCGCGGGGAAGCGCGCACTGACCAAATATCCGAGAGCGCGTCTCACCCTGTCCCTCGGTGTCGTCGTCATCGGCGAAAGCGGCGGTACCGCGAGGGGGCGAGACGCGATACGCGTGCGTTACCTCTTATCAATGGTCACGAAAGCTCGCGCGCGCGCGCGCGATGACGTGCGACCAGCTTTCGCGCGCGGAGCTTTCAAACTTCGCGAGTCGAGCTTTCCGGGTCCCGCGCGCGGTTTTCAAGCTCATCCTGGTGAAAAGTTCTCTCGTAATTTTTATACGAATTAGTACACTTTTCGGAAATACTGAGAAAGTCCACTTCTTTTCTTAAAATTTTTCATATTGTGAATATTCTGACAAAAAACGTTTGAAATTATGGAATGAGAAACTTCCGAATATTTCAAAATTTATACGTTCAAACAATTCTAGAACAGATGTAGACTTTCTCGGTACTTTAAAAAGTGTTCCAATTTGTATAAAAAATCTAAAAATTTTTGTACAAAATTGAAAAAATTTTTTAATTCTGAAACTTACATAAAAATTATTAAAAATTATGAAAAATTCTAGAAAAAATTTTCACCAAGGCGAGACCTCGTAGGAGTAATTTTCAAGCCCCGAGGCTTCACAAAAGACACCGCTGAGCTTAAAGTTACTCGTCGCGAGGCGCTTTCCAGCTCTTAACACCCTTTCTTTTTATCGACGAATTTTTGTATAATACTGAGCCCTCCGAGGTACATTCGTTCCAGCGCAATGCTCTCGAGCTTTTAAACCGTACGAATTTACCTTGATCTCGAAACATCTTTCCACAGTGAAAACTCGCACTCTACTGGAGCAAGGAATCTGCAAGGAATCCAGGGTTGCCTGCCGACTGCCCACGCGCTCTCGTCATCGATAAAAACGTATGTATACATATGTGCTCTCTCCGACGTATACAGACACTTCTTAGTGATCGGGCGTTCTATTGACATATTATTTCCACGATAATTATATATGGCAGCAGAATGAACTTATTCTTAGGCAGACCGGAGTTGATAGATACGTTTTCGGCGGCAATATCGAAGAACAAAACGTACAAAGTGTGATTTTTTCTTAGGCACGTCGTCTTGTCTTCGCAAAGACATGCTTGGAGGAAATTGCAAGGAAAATCCAATTTTCGGAAGGATAATTGTGGCACGGCTAAAACGGTGATTTACTATTAAATCATTTTAATGTTGTATAAACAATTGTAAAAAATATTAAATATTAATAAATATAAAATGGCTATATATAGTTTGAATATAGAAAATATAAATAACTTAAATATTAAGATGAGCATTTCCAAATATCTCAGTCATTGTCAGATTTATTATAATTAGTATTCTTATTAGGACTTAAATAAGTGCGCTTTTCTAAGAGATGGTGTAACCAATATTTTTGGCATCCATACATACTGCAATCATACTTTATGCCAAAGCATCATCATTAGGCTTGAATTTTTATTATGTCATTTGGCCGAAGTGTAAACAATATTTGTTTTAGTATTGAACATGTCGAGTTTTGTACCGACAAAAGAGCATTTGCGGGAAGTTTTACTTTTCTGCTTTAATTGGAAGAAAAATGCAGCTGAAGGGCATCAAATGCTTGTGGAAGTTTACGGGGAACATGCACTAACTCTGAAAACTTGTCAAAAATGGTTTCAACAATTAAAAGACGGTGATTTTGACACGGAAGACGAGGAACGTGAAGGCGCGTTGAAAAAGTTTGAAGATGAGTAATTGGAGGCGTTGCTCGATGAAGATCCAAACGCTTCAGGAACTTGCCGATTCATTGAATGTGACTGAAGCAGCTATCAGCATACATTTAAAGTCGTTGGGAATGATCCAAAAGCAAGGAAATTAGGTGCCCTATGAACTGAAGCCGAGAGACGTTGAAAGGCGTTTTTTCACGTATGACAGCTGCTCCAAAAGTAACAAAGGGAGAGATTTTTGCATCGTATCGTGACTGGTGACGAAAAATGGGTACATTACGATAATCCAAAGCGAAAAAAATCATGGTGCAAGCCTAGCCAACCGTGGACATCAATGCCAAAGCTGAATAATATCCACGATGCCAAGCTAATGCTCTGCATTTGGTGGAATCGGAAGGGCGTTGTATACTATGGGCAGCTAAAACCAAACGAAACAATTACTGGGGAACGCTACCGACAACTAATGCAATTGTGCCGAGATTGAAGGAAAAACGGCCGGAATATGCCAAAATATTTCAACATGACAACGCTCGGCCACATGTAGCGAAAACCCGTCAAGGAAACGTTGGAAGCTTTTAACTGAGATGTCTTATCCTGCCCACCGTATTCACCAGACATTACTCCTTCCGACTATCACTTGTTTCGGTCGATGACTCATGGCTTGTCTGAGCAGCGCTTCCATTCTTACGTGGATACTAAAAAATGGGTCGATTCGTGGATAGCCTCAAAATACGAGTCGTTCTTTCGATGTGGAATCTGTCTATTACCAGAAAGATGGGCAAACGTGGTGGCTAGCGATGGACAGTACTTTGAATAATGTATTAATTACTTAATACGATGAAATACATGAGTTTTCTTAAGAAGAAAAGCGCACGAACTTATTTACGGTCTGAATAGTAGTACAGCAGAGAGAAAACTGAGAGCGGCCACGCCGGCATTTTAGGGCCTGAGCAGAATGACTGTCTTGTACTCTGACATAAGACTTAAGAGTTATTGTGCGTTACCTCAAGATAGCATTACTATAAGACAGCCAACACTTTTCAAGAATACTGCGCAATCCGGACCAACATATACTATACAGGAGGTCTTATTTTAAATAATCCACACAAATATCTCCAAAAATATGAAAGATACGGAAAAACGTTTCAAACAAGTCGTTTGGTTCGAAGGGGGACATAAGGTGGTGCCATTGACTCGACCTTGGATAGTCATTTGAAGGTTACGTGAAGATCACCTTCAATTTTAATGGAACCCCCTATAGTTTATTATACTATCTTATTCTACTAATATGAACAACTTTTGTCCGAAACATTTTTATTTACCTAATACCTAATACGTTTTGAGATATTCAAGAGAAAATTTATAACTTTTTCTACGTTTAGCTTATATCTCGATAACTGTTTGTCAGAGGGAAAAGTAGTACAGGACTTTTTTTACTTGATTTGGTCTCAGAAATATGCTATTGCAAGTGTTTTAATTATTGAAAATTTTTGTGTATTGTAAAATATAAAGTTGTTCATATTAATTAGTAGAATAAGATAGTATAATAAATAATAGAGGGTTCCATTTAAAAAAATTGAAGGTGACCTTCACGTGACCTTCAAGCAACTATTCAAGGTCAAATCAATGGTACCATCTGATGTCACCCTTCGAATCGAAAAACTTTTGTTTGAAACACTTTTCCGTATTTTTCATATTTTTGGATATTTGCGTGGATTATTTAAAATAAGACACCCTATATGTATATTGACTATAAAGGTAAGAAATTATGCGATTTAGTTATATCTAAAGAAATATTATGCAAAGCTGTTGGAAAAGAAAATTTTGTTCTATCTGTTTCAATAAATGTTCACTATTTTCAGCTAATTTATAAATTAGAACTTTTCCAGATTAAAATAAAGCATTAAAACTATTTAAAAAATTCAATATTTAAAAAATAACAAAGCTTTGCTTTTATCGTCGTTAAAAAAATTAAAAATTAATTCTGCTGATTTAATGTTTGTTTCAGTGACTTCAAGAAAAAAATGTTTTAATATATCCCCAATTGTCAAAAAATCTAACAACGTATTTTCGTAAAGTAACGATACCACGTAGTTCCCGATAATTTTAATAATATAAGGGTATAAGACAGCCATTCTGCTCAAGCCCTTACTTGATCCCGTTTCAGGAGACTGTTTTGCACGCCTTTAAGCCCATTTTTACTTTTAGAACTATTTCATGACGCATTTTATGACTCTCAATAAAACTTCCACTTGGTGCACGTCTGTGCTATGCATTCCGTCATCTAATTTATAAAATTTATATTGTCTACATGAAAAAAGTTTATGTGAACATCATGTAGATAATTTATGTTAATGTTATAATTTTTAAATTTACAGCATAATCTTGAAAAATAAGCGTTGCACGGATACAAACAAAGTAGAGACTTTGTCAGCAATATCAGAAAATACAATAGCAAAATAATTACAAAAGTAAAAATGGGCGTAAAGGCGCGCAAGAGTTTCATGAAACGGTATCAAGTAAAACGTCGGCATGGCCGCTCTCAGGTTTCTCTTTGGTAGTACAGGTAGTACAGTATCTTAATATACTGCATTACTAATTATACCGTTAAACAAGTATAAATATATATATATATATATACGTACTTGTTAATGTATTTAATATACAATTACAATTACATGCATATATATACATATACACTACTAAAAAAAAAGGGAACACTTTTCATACCCTGAAAATTGGGCTATTTTCAAACCACTGAAACTCGGCGAAAAATCATCGTAGACTCAAAATTAAAAAAGCATTTTAAAGATCGAAGTGTCAACTTTAAAACCCTGTCAAGATTTATTTAAATATGTTTATCTTCACTTCGACCTTTAAAATGCATTTTTAATTTTGAGTTTACGATAATTTTTCGCCGAGTTTCAGTGGTTTGAAAATAGCCCAATTTTTAGGGTATGAAAAGTGTTCCCTATTTTTTTTAGTAATGTATATACATGTAAAATATATGAATATTTTTGTATTGCACTGATTAAATTAGATTTCAAAATTCCCAAGATTCCATCCACCTTAAAGAATGCATCGAACTGTCGGGATCCATGGCGGACGGGCCGTCCATCCCATAAGCCAACGGTGAGAACAAATAAAAGCTGCAATTTGAATTTAGTTAAAAAATGTCATTAAATATATCTCGATGTTGCTTAATAAAAATAACTCTCAATCAAAGGTTTTTAAAAATATATGTTTGAATAATTTCTTTGTAAGATTAGATTCTGATTGAAAGGCTCCACCTCTACCTGTATACAGTGCCGGAGATTACGGTTCCCAGAATGACATGGTAAATCGTATTTCCTATTTTGCCAGGTAGCAACAGTAGAACGCTCTCAATGATGTGATTCAACGTAATCCCGGTCAGCATGGAACTATACAACAACGCTGGGAAATAATGATGGAAGTACAGCACCCTAGTCATCGCCCAGAAAGGCGCATAATGCAGTGCCCATCCGAGGAAGAGCCACTTGCCGGCGTGTGTTATCTTGCTACGCTGCTCGAGCACGACAGCGTCATCGATGCAGCCCCGTTGCTCGTGCACGGAAGCGTGGACGTAAAGAATTATGAATATTGCAAGGAAGACTATGTTTCCCCACCAAATGATGGGATTGCCGAGTAAATATATCCTTTGATTGTTCCCGGAAAAGAATTGTCCCTGCGGAAAATAACTTTTTTTTTCAGAATTTCAAAGCATTTCGTAAGCAAATAATAGTACAAAAATTCATTGTTTACTCTGTAATTTATAGGCCACTGCCACGGTCGCGAGGATACCTCGCCTTCTTTCACTTTTAAATCCGAATTGCCTTGCAGCATCACGGCATGCGACTCCAAGAATCTATCGAGAAATCCTGGCGCATATACTCGGAAGCTGACGTTTGGTACTAATGAAAACGAATAGTTATGTGTCGCTAGGGGATGCTGGAGTGGTTTGATTTACCGACAGAGTCGGATACCGTTTTTGCGTTTGTAAATCTTATTATTTGCATTTATGTACAAACTAATACCAGACCCAAGTGTAGAATGCATAGTAGAACATTTTCATATAAAAAACATTGATGTTTGAAGTCTAATTCGTATCGCATTATGTATTACAAATATTGCAATACAATGCGATACGAATTAGACTTCAAACCTCAATGTTTTTTATATGAAAATGTTCTACTATGCATTCTATACTTGGGTCTGGTATTAGTTTGTACATAAATGCTACATAATTATTTTGATTTGTATCTATGTATAATATGACATATTGAGGTTACGTTCCTTGAGGTAAGATTTACAAACCCCCCAAAAACTGTATGCGACTCTGTCGGTAAATCAAACCACTCCAGCATCCCCTTAATCATTAATGATTCAATTGACGATAACTTACACTTGGCGTATTGATTATCTTCGATGTTCCACAACCCATTTTTGTCTCTCATGTTAGGGTTGCAGGAAACCTCTTGTTGACTGTACCCCCTGAATAAATTAAAAATTTATTATACGACAAAACTTCATAAAGAGAATTTTCTCTTAAATTTTACCCTCAAAATCGTGTAACATGGCATTTTGAAGAACTTTGAGAGTTTTCTGATTTTCAGGATAAATTTTAAGAAAAGATTCTCTCCGTATTGAGTTGGTTTTACGAAAGCTATACGGAATTAAATTGACGTAGTTTCCATCGCCACCAACCATTTCGGCAATGTTTTGCCGCTACATGTTAACACACAATGATGAAGATAATGCACGAACTTCAATTTACTCGTCACTGTCTCTACGACGTCGCCGTCTCTTCCGTTCGTTATTAATATTTTCCAAACGTCGTTAGCATCGCCCGTGCCGTTCTAAGATAAGCAAGGAAAAATAACAGTTGATAAAAAAAATCATAAGCAACACATTACGATGAAGAAATCATAAGTTGAAATTGCTTTACCTCTCCGTATCCAGTGACTTGGTAGTGCTTCTTCGATATCGGTGCGATCTCTTTGTGCGAATGTAAATTCCGTCTCGTTGTAACATGCTCCAGCCGCACGAGGTCACCGTGTTTAACTAATTCCGGCTCTGACGGTATCGCGTCCGTGTCGAATTTCTTCACCAGCCACAGATTGTTGTCATCCTTGTGGGAATAGGTCGTGATCTGTAATTAAATACGCGTTAGTTAGCGATACCGAGGGGCTTTGCTTCACTTACAATTTGTGTCATCCACTTAAATCTACTGTTATATACTGTTATACATATTCTCCGGTCTTTTCCCGATTAAAGTAAGATATGCATCATTTATTTCGACACAGCTGACATAAATTTATTAATTTATATATTCTAAATTAATTTCGTATATTTTACTCTTTATGCTTTAGGCTAACATAAATGTAAGTATTCGTATGTATAAGGTATGTAGCAACCTGTTGCTGTCTAGCGCCGACTCCTTCGGGATACAAATGCCAGTGGGAATGCAAGTAACCGCCGCCTGTGCGGTGATTTTTTAACGTGACAGTGGCACCGTACGCCAACTGTCGCGGCATCGTTGCGTTATACAAAGAATTTCCACGTAACAGCGACTGAAATTCGGAACTGTAGAAACCGTCGCCACTTCCGCTAAGTAAAACAACGTCTATTATTTATAAATTGTATATTAACAGTTTGAATGTAATTGTCATTTGTTCTACATAGTAATTGTAATTTGTATTACATAGTATTCTGAGAAATACATATAATAAGAAAAAATTTATATCAAGTTCATGAAGATATTTAATATTGATAGAAACAGACTATTAAAAAACTAAATATTTATCAATGGAATAATGCTTACCTTTTATTTAAAACGGAAAGGTGAATATAAAAAAATAGCATGTAAAGTAAAACCGGTAATAGGATGAGGCAAAAGCACCTTGCTAACAAATGCTTCCCCACATAAGACTGCAAACAGCAAAATTGAAATCGTCCTTTGGAGACTCAATCGTCCATTCGGTGTCTTATTAAATTAATAGCATCACAAATTCGTTAACCAGTTCGTTATAATCATCAATAATATTGCTTCACAAAAATACAAAACTCGCGTTACTCGCGAGCGTTAGAAGCCTCGATATCGAGTTCTCCTGGTTAAATTACTCACAATAGACTTAGACAGATCACCCAATTCTCGCCAGAGCTCGTACGCGGTGTAGAGACCGACAAGTAAAACGACGAACAGCCCGACGAATTTCACACTGATCGTGCAGGCAAGTGAGGCTCCAGTGAACGCCAACCACGACCACCAGGATCGCGTGAATGGACGATCTCGGAGCGACGCTACACGCGTCATGCCCCACGTCGCGTACATCATGAAGCACAGCAATATAGGATCCAACAAGATATACTGATTCAATGTTAACAATCCCACGTCTACAACATGAAAAACGAGTCGTTGTCTTGAAAATTTAGGATTGTCACAAGAGAGTTATAACTTACCGCACAGAATGAGGAAGGCAGCGAGCGTAGAGGCGCGAATTGACTTGGTAAGGTCCCATACAATGAGATACGACAGAGGGACAGTAGTGGCGCCCAACGTGGTACAGAACTGAGACAGGAAGTAAATTTTAAATTTTAAGTCAAACTTTGACTTCAATGCCATCGTTAAACTTTGTAAATTCTTCAGTAGGTTCTACTTTTTTATTTCAACTGAAGACGAGTCCAAATAACTTACAATTCTCATGCCAATGTAATGGACATTCTCGAATTTATCTCCAGGTTTTTCGAAGGCAAATGTCCCGTCGTAGCCGGTCATATATCCGGATAAAGCGATGAGCATCTAAAACAGAGTAGAAGATATCTTTCAGTCTCGCGATAGTTCAGCTTAGAGATTCTACTTAAGAGTTCCATTCACCTTTCCTAAAGGCGGATGTACATCAAAGAAGAAGGTTCTGTTTATGTACCAACTGCCCATTTTGCCGAAATGCGTCTCGTCCCAACTAAAAGTAAAACAGAAAACTGCCTCTTTGAAAAAAATATTAACATTGTCTAATGCGACAGCTACAATAAGATCTTTAATATATAGGATTTGAGAAAGTAACCTATCGCAATCAAATATGAGGAGAATAACCGACTGTGATTAATGATAATCTTAAATCTTGCATCTTAAAGATCTCATTATAGACGCTGCATAAATGAGACTGATGAGATTTCCTATCGCTCTCTCACCATACGTGCTGCGGCTCTTTGACTTTGTAAAATCTGGTGATTAATGTAAGCACAGTTATACCTCCAAACAGAAGCCACCAGTCCCTGTAAAAACACAGACTGCTATTACATTACAATTAACCATCTTACTCTAGTAACACAATTCATTGGCTATACATTGGCTAACATTGGTTAAATATTGGTTATGTTGGGAGTGCATGAACCAATATTTTCTCAATCTAACGCCAGTATTGATCATAAAATAAATGCAAGTATATTACTAATATTGTACCTAGATGATTATTTAATATTGGATTGATACTGAAATTGTATTGGCCAAGTTTACCCAATAAAATTTTAATATTGAATGCAAAATAAATGCTAAAGTACTGCCAATATTTTATAACAATAATTACACGATATTGCATTTACATTGACAGTACATTGGCCAACATTACCCAAAATAATTGTAATATTGGATATAGAATAAATGCTAATGTAACGCCAATATTACGTGTCAATAATTGCACGATATTGCGTTTATATTGAAAGTGCATTGGCCAATATTGCCCAATGTAATTGTAATATTGAATATAGAATAAATGTTCTTGTACTACTGTTAATATTACATCCCATACAGCACAGGAGATTGCAGCAACATTGCATATTGTAGTGTAATGCTGCATAGATATTGCAAAAACATTATTTTACAATATTACTTTAGTAATGTTGGCCAATGTACTGTCAATGTAAATGCAATATCGTGTAATTATTGTAGCAATATTAGTTTAAAATATTGATACAATTATGTTTGTAATATGTATATCGTTTACTCATCTTATTTATATATTTTTTATATGATTACACATAGATAAATAAATGTAAATATGTATTAACTCAGCATATATATATATATATCTCTCTCTCCAATTAAAGTATCATTCAAATTGATTTTTAACATAGTACTTATACAACAATGTATGTAATCTAAATGTCAAAGACTGTTTACAAATCTTTTAGGAAAATTATATTTAAAAGTCTGGGACAATTTAGAATTCCTCAGGATATCCTAAATAAAGTATGTGTGGGTTACGTTCAAAAATAATTTTCAACATTTAGTAACATTTAAAAAGACACGTTATGTACAAATATATGTACAAGTACATTATATTCCAAGGAGGAAGTGTTAGAGCCAAATGATCACCGCTAGCCCGTCCGATCATCGAAATTAAGCAACAATGAGTGTGGTTTAAACCTTGAATGGGTAACTACGACTTTTACAGTTCTTCACAGACGACTGCGAAAATGTTGTTAGCTTCTGTGATCTTTAAAGTCCGGAATTTATTCATAAATTTTTTTCTTTATTACTAATATGGTTATACACAAAGTATTATTGCTTATTATTGCTTAACAATATTGACCCAATAATATTGAGCCAACATTACTGCTTCGACAAATTGGCTAAATAAAAGGAAGCGTCCATCTTACAATGTTGAACCAATGTTGGGGACGAATTCGTACCCAATCTATAATATCGCATTTATATTATTTCCCAATATTACGTCAATACTTTATGCTACTAGGTAGGGTATCTACTTTACAGTAATCTGTCACAGTACAGAATAATAATTCTGTTCACTAATCATTTACGGTTACTAATAAAGAATACTTTCTCGAAAGGAACGAAAGTATAAAACGTTATTTTTGAGAATGACATTCGAGAATAAAATCGAGAAAAAAGCATGTGATAGTCCTATCATTCTAATAATTTTGTACAGTTCAACTTGAAGGATAATTCGCGAGGAAAATAGAATCACATTTTAACTTCACGCACGTCGTGTTCTCCTTCTCGTTCGTTTTCGGGGTCGCATTTTTTGATTTGCACACGGCTTCTTGGGTGCCGCTTCTCATGCCTCTTATTATTATTCAATTTGTAAATCGTGGACTATATCGCTACATCTGCGAAGCAGTCGTGTGTGAACAGGCTTCTCTTCTTTTTTTCGTCTGGCACCTAACTAGAACACAGTCAGTAACGGCAGGACGTACAATCCACTTGAATTATATTACGACGAACTTGGGCATTTTGCTATTTGCAAGTTGCAACGTGTGCCTCAAACATTCCTCGTTGACGGTTCGCCACGCGGACAAGTCTAGTCACTAGAGTGGGTAAAAGCAAAGAGGATCAGATAGAGTGGAAGTTGCCATAAGAGCACAATGTTAAATAGCGTGTCCGAGTTTCAGAGCCATCTACCAGCTCAGAGGCCATCCTAAATCCCCCCACTCTTCAATAGCGCCCAAATTCAAATCTTGAGATTTAGTAAAATTATATACGTAAATAAACAAAGGGAAATAAAATCATTTAAATAATAATAACATTGAGTTATATATATCTTGTATTATTTATTTCAATAATACGATGTACGTACAACATAATGAGTCAACAAATAATAATTTTTATAATGAGTCAACTTTAACTTTACATCATTGTATGCAAGAATACGTTTAAAATAGAAATATTATATAGAATATAAAAATAGAGTAACATAAAAATATAAACTTTGAACTTCCTAGGACGAATTATAACTCTTAAAAGCTTCTTATTCTTAAATTCTAAATTCTTAAAAATTAGTTTCGAACGAGTGGAGTAAACTTTTTCATTTTTCTATTTACTTGCACTGTTTTAGACTCTTTAATATTTCGTCGTTTTTTCTTTGTTTCCCTCTCTTTAGTCTTTTTCAATACTAAAGTACCACCCTTTTTTAAAATTCGTCTAATAAATCGTGCTTCCCAATTGCAACAAATCCTTATAAATAAACTGAAGCTTTTTGTTGCTTCTGGAGAACATAATTGCAATAGAGTGACGTTTTTTTCAATAATATGTATAATGATCAAATTTTGGAAATATTTTTCAAATGTAGCTTATTTCTAATAACCGATTGAAATTCTTTCTCCCATGCTTGGATATTTTTGAAAATATCATCATTAACATATTTGAGGCTCTTCGTATTTTCATATTGTTTCGCCATAGAGAATAGTTTATGGTGTTCATAATTATTAACAGTCTCTTGCACAAGAATACTTTCACAAGTTTTACAATTGTGAAATTTCAAAAAACCGCTTATGTAATATATTGCTGATTTGCTAGTAAACATTTTACTGTCTGATTCTTCATCTTCATTACGTTCTGCAGTCTTTACTCCAACATTAGATTTTTCATTTTTATTTTCCTTTTCTAATTTTCCAGTATTTAACTCCCTCATTTGATTTATGATATCTGATTCTTTTATTTTTAACTCTGCCTCATCAACATCAATTCCATTAAGAATTGGTAACTCTGTGTCTGGCGATGCCGTTTTTGACTGAATCTTTATAACAAAGTTCTGACAAACTTTATAACAAACCCATTCTGTCTCGACGGTTAAATAAACTGTGCTACTCCGACAACTATAGGTATTTAATCTTTTATACATCCATATAGAATAATAGACTTTCTTCGTTTTTCTCTTTATATTGCGACAATAATATAAAAAAAAATCGTTTCCAGACACGTTTCCACGACACTTGAAAAGGACCTGATAGAGGTCGAAACGTTGTGAACTAAATAAAGATCACCTTTTTGCCAGTTTGGTCGACTCCTATGAAAAAATACCTCCCCCATCTTTATAACAAAGTTACTTAATTTGGCAAACTGATTGTCATCAGCTTCACAATTAGTAACGTTAGAGATTTTTGTTAACTGAGTAATAAAAACTTGCCGAATTCCATTTTTGAATTGCGTTGGCGAAGGAAACAAGTTATACAACCATATTGCTGCTTGATAACAGCAAATAAGTTTTCTAACGGGTCCTGACACAATCGACGAGTTTTAAGATTTTCAATACCATAATTGAGCTGAAGATCTTCGGCCAGATGGAGGACACTTTTTAATTGTTATGAGAAAAAATACAATCTGGCTGTTGACCCTCAAACTTTGTCATTTTTAAATTGTTTAACATTTCATTAAGAAATTTTTTATGCTCTGAAGTACTGCTGATAGCATAATTTAATTTGGTAGGTAGAGTTTTTTTAGTAGTACTGAATTTAATGAGTCGAATAATTTATCTACGTCGCGAACGAATTCAAAAGTCATGTTATTTGCGAGAGCACGAGGTAGAACGACAAAACTACTCGTGTACGAGTATTAGAAAGCCGGCTCCCCTGCTTAAAATAATGAATAGAAAATTATAGAAAATTTTGCCTTTCCTTTTCAATGGTGATTTTGAATCCCCTTTTTCAGATCATATACTTAAGAAATTTCATATAGGTAGATTGTTTTGTAGATTATCATATCCTTTGTAAATATCTTATAATTTTTCATGTTTTTCTATCTTTTTCATTTTGTATGAAAATAAAAAATTTAATTCTATGTAAATTTCGATGGAAATTCATAATGTCAGAGTTGTTATTTCTATGTCAATCAATATTTTTTTATAGTAATTTATAGAAACAGAATAAAGTCTTTTTCAATGTTATTCTTTACCAATGATTATAATGCATTCATATTTATGTTATTTAATGTAACTCTAACTATTATCTGTATATTAATTAATATTTTTGTATCATAAATACAGAAATATTTAAAAACTTACCCAAATAGCACCGTACATCTAATGGACGTCCGTTTTACGTTCATTTTACTACCATACGTCCATGGACATAATAAGATCGTCCATTGTATATCCATACAAAGATATACATTTGGATATGCATAAACGGACGTCCACACACAGAAAAATATTATTGTACAGTCAAGAAAAGTAATTACTCAGTTTATTTTATTCCGTTTAAGTAATAGTTTGCTTCAACAAAGAATATTTTCTTAATAATAGTTTTAAGATAAACTTGTTACTAGTCTTAGAAAAGCTTACCATCTTATACTCGAAGAAAGAATTTATTCTTCTTTGAAGAAAATTATAAAACTTATTGAAGAATTCCGTATGCTTTTTTTAATAAAATCAGAAGAAACAAAATTGTTTTGCTTCAAATAATTCTATGTATTCTTGTTTCAAGTACTAGACTTACTAAGAACCAGAATATGTTTCGAGTAAATATAACACTTGCGACGACATTATGATAGATTTGCGGATATATAAACTTATCAAATACTTGGAATAAATAATATTTACTTCCCACATAGAAACAAAACTTCTAATGGACGTCCATTATACGTTTGTCATGGAGATTAACACCTTCCAGTAGACGTCTATTAGATGACCAATGAAGGACAATGAGAAATCCATAGTTCCGCATTGCGGACATCCATTGGGCCTCCATTATACATCTTTAAAGATGTTAAGTTTAAAAAGACCGCGCCTTCTGCGCGCTTGCGTGTCGAGGCGGATAGCAACAGCGGTGCGCCGGACGCGGGGAGATACGAACGCCGATCGTCGATTTCTGTTTTATTAGTTACGCGTTGTCAAGCGAGACTCGGAGGAAAAAAGAGATCGTACGTCGTTCATTCGGTCTCAGGAAGTCGTTGCGAGAGTCCACGTTTGTGAGTCGGATAAAGTTGTAGTATTTTCGAGTGGTGTTTTGCGATTTCTTGTTTGCGACTGCTGAGGGAGTCGAGGTTGAGTGCGTTGCCTGCTAAAATTCCGTCAGGCATCTACGGTGCAAAGACGGTGGACGTCGCCCCGACGTCGCGCTTTCGACGGCGGAGAGCGAGTGGATACAAGGCGGATGAGCAGCTGCATGCAGGAATACATTCCACCCGAGATTCGACATTAACGAGTTGTCTGCTGCTATAATATAGCTGGAATTCAGAAGGAAGGACGTTACGTTAAACTTTCGTTACTCTTGCGCTCCATCGAACCGATAAGTACCACCACTGATTCCGTTCCGGCTTCGCCGGAATAAGCGTATTCTACGCAATTGCAAGCTCATTGCGAGCACCTCCGAATTCTTCGGATAAAGCCATTTCTTTTCGTGGTCGATGGTATAAGACATACATTCATTTGTTTTAATCAATACAGACGCGTCCGACTACGTCGGACAGTCGAGTCACACGACCAGTTCAATCTTCACTTGTTTTATAATTTGCGTCTGAATGCTGAAGACATTTGTTCTTTTTATCGATCCACACTTATAATACGGTGTTCTTATAATTTTCAATCTTTCATTCTCTGCGTTGTTATTGTATAATATCAATATTACGATACCCTTTTTGGTTTGTCTGTTTGAATACATTGTTCAAAGAAACGCGATTCGCTTTCTAGATGATACTCTGCATATCATTTCGTATTTGACAATATATAATTCTTTTAAATCCTAAATATGATTACCATCGTCTATACCATAATACTTTCATGTTTGTCTTGTCTATTGTACGAATTGTCTTGTTTCTTACGTTATTCATGTTATGTTTATTTGTACATGTATATTTCCATATATGTAGTTCACTTGAACATCTATTGACACAGTTTCGTTGAATTTGAATTTCGTTACGCCATCAAGTTTAGATTGGCAGTATAGTAAACTGTTTTTTCTTCTTATATCATTAATATTTGCGTCATTTATATTCTTTCCGTAAGCTGCCCTATTTGAAAATATATTAAGATAACTAACCCCCCTGCCTCCGGTCCCCCTTTAGCGGCAAGGAACCTCCGGTTTCTACTTATACTTCTCAAACAGATGTCCATTAGACGTTCCGTGGATCATTGACATACGGTGCGCGGAGTCTCGATGGACGCCCCAGCTAACAAGGTGGCGTCAAAATGACGTACATTTAATAAAGAAAAAAAATTAATGAACAAATTTCGGACTTTAAAGATTATAGAAATTAACATTATTTTCACGGCTGGGTGTGAAGAACGGTAAGGTCGCGGTAACCCATCCAAGTTTTAACCACACTCAACGTTGCTTAACCTCGATGATCGGATGGGATAGCGGTGATCCTTTGGCTCTGACAATTCTTTCTTGCAATAATTTGTGCAACATAATTATACACATATTTGTACATAACATGTTTTTATTAAATGTTAAAAATTATTTTTGAACGTAACCCACACAGCATACCTACTTTATTTTAGATACTAAGAAATTCTAAATTGTCCCAGACTTTTAAGCATATTTTTCTTGAAAAATTTGTAATCGCAGTCTTTGACATTTCGATTACAAACA